CACATTGAGTTTTATAACTCTGCCCTGGCTGTTGAACAGGTAACTGTAAGGGTGGTGCCTTCTCGGAATAAGTCAACCCCATGTAGTTGATTCATGACCGATAACTAAGTTAAGTTATTCAATGACTATGGTAATTCATTGATGAATATACTATAGAAACATGCAGTCTATTAGATCCGGTCTACACTTGTTTCGCAACTTAAAAAGATTACGTTTTCTGGCTTCGAAAAACTGTATACAAATGATAGTAAATCTAGTTTAGACTTGCCTCTCACAGCTTTTGTGTCTTTGTTAGAGAAAACATTCAGTTCTAACGAGAGTTCATTGCAACCTTTTGTGTAGATATTACAACAAGACAATCAGAAAGCTTTTCAAATTTCAGTTCCGATTTATATGAGCGGATGTAACATCAAACTTGCCAACACATGAAGCCAACAAGAAATTTGTGAAGAGTGCAGTGTCAATGTCACAAATGAAAGCAATGTAACCAGCCTTGCAGACACTTATACACATATGACATGAAGCGTGAAATATCCAACTATAAAATTTTCCAGAAGACTTATTTATTTATCAGCAGTAAACAAAAGATATTTTTCTCCTCTGACTGAAGTGGTTGTACGTTCTAACACGTATTTACATTCTATGAAATTTGTGACCCCCATGTCACAAATTAATGGTTTCCTTTCGACCCTTAGTTTGAGGAGTAATATAAGCATTCTGTGCTTGCGTAGGTGCTATTCCATTTAATTTGTTCGCAAGTTAAATATTCTGTAACCCATATAAACGACTCACTATTTCTCTTATTTTCTAATCACCTTTCTATTTTACTTACCTCTCTGTTTTATTTACCTCTCTATTTTACTTACCTCTCTATGTTACTTACCTCTCTGTTTTACTTGCCTCTCTGTTTTACTTACCTCTCTGTTTTACTTACCTCTCTGTTTTACTTACCTCTAGGTTTTACTTACCTCTCTGTTTTACTTACCTCTCTGTTTTACTTGCCTCTCTATTTTTACTTACCTCTCCTATCATGTGGGGAGGGGGGTGGGGGGTTGAGTCTAAGAGGCTTTAGCGCCCACTTCCCATATTTTTGTCTAGAAAATTCGTAATTCCAAGATACTCGGTTAATTTCAGCTGCAGGCGATTTGGCAGCAAACCGCTTTACGTTGATTTCAACAACATACAGAACGTTGCAGCAGCAAGCAACATACACTTGAAACAATTACGCGTCAGTATGTACAGCAATTTTGCTTCTCTCCAGTTTTTCCGCCTAGCGCACAAGCACGCCTTTCCGTACGAAGTCATGTCATAAAATCCCTAGGATAATGGACCGGACTGGGGTTTCCTGGATTTCCTTTGTTTAGGGTCATTTAGAAAGAGAAAAGAGAATTCTTAAAAGCTATTTAACTCCTATCTTGTTTACGGAACGGAATCATGGGTAGTTGGTAGACTAGTGAAAGATTATTTGGAAGCTGCGGTTTTACAGACGAATGATAAGAATACCCTGGACAGATAAAAAGATTAATGTGGATGTGCTGAAAGAAACTGACTCAGGCAGAGAATTGATTGCCCATACATAAGGAGACAATCTACATTCTTTGGTCATATAATGAGAAAGATAAAACTGGAGTACATCGTGAGAGTAGGAAAGTTTGAAAGAAGGAGAGGCAGAGGGAGACGGAGAAAAAAATATGCTGAACAGTTTGACATTATGGCATGGAGGATCATCTGTGTCAGAGTTGGCTGAAAGTACACGAGACAGAAGGTTGTGAATAGACGGGACTACAAACGCCACAGAAAAAATAAGAAAAGAAGGTCGTTTAAAATGATTGTACCCAGACAAGACAGTTCAAAGAGTTTTGCCGGGAAGCAACATATGAAAGATGGCGGCCAATGACGGGGAAGTGGCGGAAAACGTCATCGTCACGAGGAGCACCGCCGTGCATGACGTCACCAGACCACTAGGCAGGAAGCCATTTTGGTCTCCAGACCAAGAGATGGCTCAAGTCGCCGACGACTTCAAACCCGTCTCTGTGTCTTCCCCCGCCAACTACCTCTTGGCTAACCAGCATAAAAACAGCAGTAAGACCAATGGCTTCAGGTTGGTCAAATAATGATTTGCTTAGGGAGTAGCAGAAGAAAGTTTATGCGTGTTATTGCGTGCAGCTGAGGTGAGCGCTACTTTGTCTGCTAGGCTTGACTCTGACTCTGAGTCGTGAAGCCGGTCTCAGCGAGTCTCAGCTGATGCCCAGATGATCCAGTGTGTACTTTGTGTGTGTGTGTGTGTGCTTCTGCTACTACAATTACTGCCGCTACCACTACAGTAAAGTAACTACTATAGTTTCTTCTAAATCATCCTTATCGTGACCAGAATAATTATTTCTTTTTCTTCATCGCCTCACCATTGCGATCATCACTCATTTTTTTTCTACAGATGCTGCTTTATTAGTCTGCATCTCAGTTTTCTTCACAAAACATAAAATCAGAAGAAGTCAGATCTCTTCACCCTCGAAATCTTGCTCTAGTTTGTGATAATCAGTTCCTTTAGATCAGCATGTCAGTGTATGACCCTCAGTGCACATATATGATTGTCCATCATGTCAGTGTATGACCCTCAGTGCACAGATATGATTGTCCATAATGTCAGTGTATGACCCTCAGTTGTTCAGCATGTCAGTGTGTGACCCTCAGTGTACATATATGATTGTCCAGCATGTCAGTGTATGACCCTCAGTGCACATATATGATTGTTCATCATGTCAGTGTATTATCCCCAGTGCACAGATGATTGTTCAGCATGTCAATGTGTGACCCTAGGTGCACAGATATGATTATCCAGCATGTCAGGTTATGACCCTCAGTGCACAGATATGATTATCCAGCATGTCAGTGTATGACCCTCAGTGCACATGTATGATTATCCAGCATGTCAGTGTATGACCCTAAGTGCACAGAGATGATTATCCAGCATGCCAGTGTATGCCCCTCAGTGCACAGATATGATTGTTCAGCATGTCAGTGTATGACCCTCAGTACACTAGTATGATTCTGTAGCATATCAGTGTATGACCCTCATTGCACATGTATGATTATCCAGCATGTCAGTGTATGACCCTCAGTGCAGATATGATTGTTCAGCATGTCAGTGTATGACCCTCAGTGCAGATATGATTGTTCAGCATGTCAGTGTATGACCCTCAGTGCACATATATGATTGTCCAGCATGTCAGTGTATGACCCTCAGTGCAGATATGATTGTCCAGCATGTCAGTGTATGACCCTCAGTGCACATATATGATTATCCAGCATGTCAGTGTATGACCCTCAGTGCACATATATGATTGTCCAGCATGTCAGTGTATGACCCTCAGTGCAGATATGATTGTCCAGCATGTCAGTGTATGACCCTCAGTGCAGATATGATTGTTCAGCATGTCAGTGTATGACCCTCAGTGCACAGATGTGATTGTCCAACATGTTAGTGTATGACCCTCAGTGCACATAAATGATTGTCCAACATGTCAGTGTATGACCCTCAGTGCACAGATATAATTTTCCAACATGTTACTGTGTGTCCCTCAGTGCACAGATATGATTGTCCAGTATGTCACTGTATGACCCTCAGTGCACAGATATGATTGTTCAGAATTTCAGTGTATGACCCTCAGTTCACATATATGATTGTTCAGCATATCAGTCTATGACTCCCAGTGCACAGATATGATTGCCCCGCATGTCAGTGTATGACCCTCAGTGCACATATATGATTATCCAATATGTCAGTATGACCCTCTGTGCACATATATGATTTTCTAACATGTCAGTGTATGACCCCCAGTGCACAGATATGATTGCCCTGCATGTCATTGTATGACCCTCAGTGCACATATATGATTGTCCAATATGTCACAGTATGACCCTCAGTGCACAGATATGATTTTCTAACATGTCAGTGTATGACCCTCAGTGCACATATATGATTGTTCAGCATATCAGTGTATGACCCTCAGTGCACAGATATTATTGTCCAACATGTCATGTATGACCCTCAGTGCACATATATGATTGTCCAACATGTCAGTTTTGTCAGTGTTCTATTGACCAGGTGACAGTTGATGGCCATCATCCCTGTCACAGTTGTCTGTGACAGTTGTTTCCTGATATCCATTTATATGCTTGATCCACATACCAATTTTACAAATATACCTCATTGAGGGATTAAGAGAGATTAAGATATTTGACATGTCAGCAAGTGTACCGGTCATTGCAATGTTAAAGCTCTGTAGATTGACAGACTTACAATTGTAGCTCTGTCGATTGACTGTTTTAACTCTGTAGGTTAATTGTTATAGCTCTGTAGATTGACTGCTGTAGCTGTGTAGATTGTCTGACTGTTGAAGCTCTGCATATTGATTGACTGACTGATGTAGCTGTGTAGATTGACTGTTGTTGCTCTGTAGACTGACTGTTCTCTGTAGGTTAACTGTTGGAGCTCTGTAGATTGACTGACTGATGTTGTAGCTCTGTAGATTGATGGTTGTAGCTCTGTAGATTTACCGTTGCAGCTCTGTAGATTGACATACTGACAGTTGGAGCTCTGTAGATTGACTGACTGACTGTTGGAGCTCTGTAGATAGACTAACTGACTGTTGGAGCTCTGTAGATTGACTGACTGTTGGAACCTTGTAGATTGACTGACTGATGTTTTAGCTCTGTAGATTGACTGTTGTAGCTCTGTAGATTGAATGTTTTTTGCTCTGTAGGTTGACTTTTGCAGCTCTGTAGCTTGACTGACTGATGTTGTAGCTCTGTAGATTAACTGACTGACTGTTGCAGATCTGCAGATTGAATGTTGCAGCTCTGTAGATTGACTGAATGCTGGAGCTATGTAGATTTACTGACTGTTGGAGCTATGTAGATTGACTATTGGAGCTGTATAGGATGACTGTTTACAGAAGGTGGCATACTAAGTTGAATGATGCCATTTGTTGTTCTGGCAGGTCTGGCAACCAGTCAGTGAGAAGTAGCGAGGATGAAACAGATGACACAGAACCTTTGGACCATGACTACAACCTGCCCCAAGTGAAGATCAAGAAGTTCATCAACCGTGGAAAGTGGTCTAAGGAAGAGGTATTTTTTACTATAAATGTTGTCTAACCTGAGAGCTATGCCGGCGGTAGCATATCTAGCAGCAGAGAATCCTGAGATGGAAAGGTCAAAGGGTGAAGAACAGACACAGAGCGACACTCTGGCCCTCCAGGTTGAGGTTTGAAGTGTGGGACTGACACCCCCACCTTTGTAAAACAAAATTGTTTTATGTAATAAAAATCTAAGCCTAGTAAAACTAGGAGTCCCGAAATGGGAAGCGAAGGCCAGTCATAGATTAATGGAGATGAGTGACATGTACAGCATTGAAACTGAAGAGCATAGAATCCTAACGGAGAAGAAGAAGAATAAGTTTTGTTTTTAAAAAAAATAACTTTTTTTTTTAAGTTGACAGTTACATGCTGCTGTAAGAAAGGCACACCATTCTTTGGTTGTGTAGTGAGAAGAGAGGTGTTGGAGAATATAGTGATGCCTAGAAACATTAGACGTCACAGTTGGACCTCCAGAAATATCATAGGGACAATTTCATGAAGAATTATCACCAACAGAGATGATCCAGAACATCAGTAAAGATCTGTGGAGTGACAGGAACTCTTGTGTTATCTAGCTAGGCACATGGTGGTCATGATGTGAATAAAGCTGTGAATTGTTTTCTGTTCTTGAAATTGTTTCTGAGCATTTGAATATCATATTTAACAGCATTCTTTTGTTCGACCATAGAGATTCACAACAGTATACATGGAATGACACATCAAAAGCCAGATTGACTTTATATTAACAAGAGTCAAAGGAAGAAGGAGAATTCTTGATGCAAGAGCAATCCCCAAGGGTCTATTGGACACTGACCATAAAATTGTTGTGATGACAGCAGATTATCTCATCTTCAAGAAACACAGAAAGACAGACATTAACTAAAAACATTATCTCAAGATAAATTACACACAAAGACAGCAGATCAAATGGTTTGCCCACTTGGAGAAAATGCCTTCTGATGCTATACCATACAAGGCATATACCAAACGAGGAGAGGGACGTAAAGCAAGAGGTAGACCAATAACAAGATGGGAAGATAACATCAGAGAAACTATAGCACTACGATGTGTCTATCGTCAAAGCAGCCAAAAGAGCATGAAGCAGGACCTTATAGCTAGCACCCTTGACACTTAAAGCGGTAAAAGAGCACGTAAAGAAGAAGAAGATTCTTTTATTATCAGATAATAAGATGTGTTTTGTCTTGTCCATTAGGATGAGAAGCTACGCAAGATAGTTGAGACCAAGGGTTTCCATGATTGGAAAGTTGTGTGCAGCTTCTTTGCCGACCGCACGGATATCCAGTGTCAGCATCGCTGGCACAAAGTCTTAAACCCAGATCTGATCAAAGGGCCCTGGACTATTTCTGGGTTGACCACCGGGCTGTTTTATTCAGAAATCTCCCCCAACTAGTGATGATTGAATCTTAGAGCACCAAGCTGGCAGGTGATTGCTGTAACCTACCATAAATTCCAGTTAATAATTTTTTGTTTCCATTGGCTTTCTCAGGAAGACAACAGAGTGATTCAGCTGGTCAATGAATATGGGCCCAAACGGTGGACTCTAATCTCCAAACATTTGAAGGGCCGGACCGGCAAACAGTGCAGGGAAAGGTTAGTGCTGTGTACAACACATGTCTACATTGTCATTGATTATTTATTTTCTTTGTCAACTTCTCTACATGCTTTGTACATTAATTTGTTTACACTACTACCAGTTTTTTTTATAGTTATTTTTCTAATTTCTATCTTTTTACTTTCACAATCCTTTGCTGCAGGCAGAATGTGTTACCATATTTCTTCTGTGTTCCTGATGATATGCTTAAATTTCTTGCTATTGAGTTCTTGTAGATCAGATTTCCCACTGCAGTTTGGTCATCTTCTTGGAAATTCTTAAGTATTTATAGATACTTTCAGAAGTATTGTCTGTGCCTTGTTCTTCTGCATAAATATCAATGCTGGACAATGGCTAACAAAATGATGGGAAACGGAGGCAGTTCGGTGGTGAGTGAGAAAAAGGTTGAGAATATCTTGGGCAAAGAAGATTGTGTGATTTGTACATTGCTGAGGAAAGGGTTGAGTTTTTATGCTTCATTTGATATTAAAATAACTCTAGTTATTTATTGTTTGTGTTCGCATTATTGAACCCTTGAGCCCCAGTGGCCTAGAAAAAACAAAGCCAAGCTCCAGTACTTTTAATTTTTATATGTGTGGATATCTCTCTCCCCCCCCCCCCCCCACCCCCTTTCCCACCCCACAAAAACTCTAAAGATGAAGATGTTGATGTTGTACACAGTGCCAAAGATGAAGATGTGTTGTTGATGTTGTACACAATGCCAAAGACAAAGATGTGTTGATGTTGTACACAATGCCAAAGATGAAGATGTGTTGTTGATGTTGTACACAATGCCAAAGACAAAGATGTGTTGTTGATGTTGTACACAATGCCAAAGGTGAAGATGTGTTGTTGATGTTGTACACAATGCCAAAGGTGAAGATGTGTTGTTGATGTTGTACACAATGCCAAAGATGAAGATGTGTTGTTGATGTTGTACATGACCCACAGGTGGCACAACCACCTCAACCCCAGCATCAAGAAGACTGCTTGGACCAGCGAGGAGGACCAGCTCATTTATCAGCTTCATCGTCGCCTGGGCAACCGCTGGGCTGAGATAGCCAAGTATCTACCTGGCAGGTATGTCTTTTCATGTGCGGAATGCTCTTAGTCAATCTCTCTCTCTCTCTTTTTCTCTCTCTCTCTCTCTTGCTCTCTCTCTCTCTCGCTCTCGCTATCTCTCTCTTGCTCTCTCTCTCTCTTGCTCTCTGTGTGTGTGCACGCGTGCCTGCTTGTATTTGTGAGTATTTATGCCTGTATTTATATGTTTGTTTTTATTATTCTATTCACTGGGTGTGTGGTCTGATAGATGTAAGTAAGTATAAGATCCTATTTTATGCATTGGTGCTTTGCACATATAATGCAAGACTCACATTCTCATAGACCAGTCAGATCTTTGTGGGTGATGTGGTCAGTGTCAAGCCGGCTTTTGTAACCAACTTTTCCCCTCTGATGTGTCTCCCTCTTGATGTAATAGAACTCTGTGTGTCACTGACTCCAGGAGTTTTGCCAAAGTAAGCAGCTTAGGAAGAACAGGCAAATGAACACAAGACGAGTCACAAATCTGACATGCAGGTTCATTTTCCCCATCCAGCTATTTTTCTTTCACACAAGAATTATATTGTGGGTAAAATGCATATAATAAAGAAGTAGAAGAGTGAGAAATAATTTTATTTATAACGTATAATAAAAAAGAAGAAGAATGGGAAAAAGTTGAATGTACCTTTTATAATAATGATGAAGAAGAAATAAATCAACGTGCTGGGTACAGTTTAATATTCATTAATTAGGAATTGAAAGAAGCAGGAAACTAACTGTATCTTTGATATATAGAACAGATAACGCAATCAAAAATCACTGGAACTCCACAATGAAACGGAAGTTTGAGGGAGAGGAAATCAATGACCGAAAGTATCTCAACAGTGGACTCTCCCTCTACAGTCGGCCAATAGTCCCTAGTGTACCTAGCAGCTCTGTCCATCCCCTCAGCATCCAGCCTGTTCATTTGTTCTCTAACTTGGTGAGGTCCTTGATTTTGGCATTCAGGGAACTTTGCTTCCCTTTTTACCCTGTTTCACGGCTCACTTTACAAGAGTTTGTGTTTTATGAATTGTTTTAAAATATTTGTTTCAATACATTGACAAATTATGTTTCAGCAAAGCCTGTTGTTTTTAGAGTGAATTAATTTTCTTTAAATTTTGTTGATTGAATTAATCTGCAGTTGATGTTTCAAAAATTCAACATAAGGTTTTAATTTGTTAAGAAAAGTAAATGTTTGTTATTTCATTGTTTTGTTTTCTCCATGTGGGGTCAGGGACAACATTTTGGGGAAACAAGAATACAACCACTGCCCCTCTAAGAAGCGTGACACAAGAGGTGACTTTTTAAGGGTGTTTTCTTCAATGTCAGTGTGTATCTGCCTGAGAGATGAGCCAACAATCTGTATACCAGCAACCTAGATCTGTAAAATGGATGTGCACACAAAAAATCCTAGAACAAGACCACAGTTCTAAAGTGGACAAACAACTAGAACTTACTGCCAAAGTTTACTGCCGGTGACTGTTTAGTCTCAGGTGATCGGGATGCTGAAGAAGAAAATAGAACCAACACAGAAATAAGTGGATGTGGATGTAGCAGGGAATGTTCATTGTCACCTTGCTTGCAACTCAAGAACTCTTTTTCTTCTTCTTTTTCTTTTGTTCACTTGAAATAGATTATCTGTATCTGCAGTGTTGCCTCTAGTATGAACTTCACTGTCTTTTGGAAAATCATTCATCGACCCGTAAAAGTTTGGCTTGCACCGCTGTTTCTCTTGGACAAAAGTTTTGCCTTGATATTCTTTTTCTTTTGTTTTTTTTCTGCAGGGAATACTTCCACAGTATTACAAGTTATTTTATTTTAAATGGATACAAGTTTATTTAATCCTTTTATGGGTTTCAGAATCCCATTATGGGGAATGCAAGAATAGACCCACTGCCTCCCCAACAAGCATGTCATAAGAGGCGACTAATAGTAGGCTTCCTTCAAAGTCGGAATGCATTTGCCTAAGAGGCAAGGAACCACCAATTTGCATCAGATAAGCCAAATATATAAAATGGATGTGCACACAACACTGAAGTTCTGGAAAAGACTAAAGTCCAGAGGTGGATGAACAACCAGAACTTTAAGCCAGAATGTATGGCTGGTGGATGTGAAGAAGAAGATTTTATTTTATCTTCCACTCATCTCATCAGAATGCAAAATAATGTCAAAGAGGTTCTTTGTATTCAGTTTAAAGCAAATGCTTCCCTGTGTGTGTGTGTGTGGGGAACAATATAAGGTAGCTTATTAAGGATTTGCTTAAATCAGATGTGTTGGGCTAAAAGGCACAGATAAATATGGCACCTAGCTGTAAATTACAACACACTGTACTAATGCCATTCTAAGGGCAAATCCAGTAAGTTCCGAAGAAAGCGAATACTTACACAGATTTTCAGAAATATCTGGTTCACTTGTAACAAAACATGTTTTGCTAACACATTACATATACAGCAGTAGCTTCCGCTTCACCATTGCTAGCTAGTTAGGTTTGAAAACTGTTAGGGCTTGTTCACTTGTAACAAAACATGTTTTGCTAACACATTACATATACAGCAGTAGCTTCCGCTTCACCATTGATAGCTAGTTAGGTTTGAAAACTGTTAGGGCTTGTTCATTTGTAACAAAACATTTTGTGGTAACACATTTCATATACAACAGTAGCTTCTGCTTCACCATTGCTAACTATTTATGTTTGAAAACTGTTATTTTACAGCACAATACTGAAAATATTAACCCCGGTAAGTGATGTTTGCTTTATGTTGTCTTCATATCACCACTTGTATTGATTGGTTTGTGAATCCTCTCCTAGACTGAGTCTTAACTGGGGCTTTTTTACTGGAGGTACAAGTAACAGTAACTTTTTTTTTAATGCATTTATTTTTTCCAGCACTTCTGTAATAGACACTTGGTGGGACTACCTGCACATTTTTTAGACACTTTGTGGGGAGTACAAACACCTCTTTTATCTTAGAGTTATGGCATTGGCAGGTAACTGGAGCCATGAAAGCAGTTTAAATTTGTTAGTGTGAGGTTGGAGACAGGGAACTGTAAAGTGCCACCTCCACAATGACTGTGTTGCAGAGTTCTCCTTCCCCTCTCTTAGCCTAGAAACTAGTAAATATTCCAGTTAGGTATGAGGATTTACATCTATGTAAGGACATTAGTATATCCCTAGGATATGATTCAGTGCAGCACACAGACTGGCTGAGGTTAGATCTGGATTGGTGGGTCATGGTTCCTCTTAATGGATATGTTTGCAAAACTCAAGTTCTGGAACAAGACTAAAGTTCAGAAGTGGATGAACAACCAAAACTTTCTACCGGAGTTTACGTCCAGTGAATGTGAAGAAGAAGTTTACAGATGATTATGATGAGACTGAAAGCAGTGTGGAGGTTCCTAAACATTATTAAGATTATTGGTTATATGTTGCAGATGAACCTTTGCTGACACCAAAGGAAGAAGTCATGGAACAAGGGTCGCTGGGGTTTAAGGAAGAGCTGCACAGTCCTCTGAAGTAAGTCTCACAAATGGATGTCTGAGACGTGTTTGCTTGTACATGTGCTGGCATGATCTGTGTCATCCTTGTCTGCACCAGACTTTAGGGCTGTTACAGGTGTCCCCAGCTTTGGAGGTTGAACAGGGTACCTGGTATTTACCTTGCTGGTTTGCCATCTCAGATAAGATTTTTGTAGTCTCGGGGGGGGGGGGGGGGGGGGGGGGGGGGGGAGGGGGGGGGGGGGGGGGGGGGGGGGGGGGGGGGGGGGGGGGGGGGGGGGGCCCTTCAGGTGGCAACCTGGAGAGAAGGAAACAGATTGCATATTGAGTTACAGCAACATTAATTTGGGATACTCTGTTACATTGTCTGTCTGAACTGTAGAGGCTTGTGTCTTATCTGTGTTACATTGTCTGTCTGAACTGTAGAGGCTTGCGTCTTATCTGTGTTACATTGTCTGAACTGTAGAGGCTTGCGTCTTATCTGTGTTACATTGTCTGTCTAAACTGTAGAGGCTTGTGTCTTATTTTAATGAGGAACGCAGTGACTAGTAACACCAAAAGCTTCAGTATAGTATATGAGATGGGTTGACGTGAGACTGGCCTTATTCCAGACATACTAGTGTTAACATATCCTTTGGATTAAAACAAGTCAGGCACAGGGAGGGATCATGCTATATGGGTAAAAGCTAGTCTTCACAATACTGACCAGGCTTTGTGCTGCTGTATGGGTAAAAGCTAGTCTTGACAATACTGACCAGGCTTTGTGCTGCTGTATGGGTAAAAGCTAGTCTTGACAATACTGACCAGGCTTCGAGCTGTGGAAAGGAGGAACTTTGTCTGTTTCCATGCCTCACTATAACACAGTATAATACTGTTTGAAAAAAACAGAAAGATTCTAATAAGTTAAATTAAAATGGATCCTGTGTTATAAGGTTTGGAGAAATGTCATTTAACATTAGGAAAGACGTCATAATTTCAGTTTAGGACATGTTTTGTCATTCACATTAACTCTTTCAGGACCACATTTTTTCTGGGGTTTGGACAGCATTAATTTTGAAAAACCTTCCTGAAGAAAAAGCATTGGCTGTATCGTGACATATATGTCAAATTAAAGATAAATGAGTGCAGAATAAATCTAAACTGTTTAAATGTCAGTATAACCAACGATGCCAGCATCAAGAGCATACAACATGAAAATCGAAACACCAAGAGGCAGGGGAAGACCAAGAAGAAGATGGATTGAAGGAGTCACGGACAACTTGAGACTTCATAACATCACGGCATATGAAGCGACTGAGCGCGCCCTGGCTCGGTTGCCGATCATCTGATAGACTGCGACGCCTAGCGGCACAAGCAGATTTATGACAAAAGAAGAAGATAACAACAAAATGGTATTAAAATCACACAACATTCAAGGATGATAGACACATGAAAATTATTGACAAAAATGTTGTGCTTACCTTATTTTTTTACTTGTTCATCAGCAATGCTATCCAATTCTAAGAATGCACATGCCTTCTCTGTTCAAATATGTATTAGCTAGTCTTTATTTGAAACAATTAATTTAAATACTTTGGATGTTATGATCATTTTTGTATGCATGTCAAATTTCACAACAACCAAAAATCGGGAAACAGCTGATCAAAACAATGATCTGATTGAAATATTTTGCAAAATTTTCATATCCTAAACTAAATTTTCACCAGTAGATTTGTCGCTTAGATATCAGTCATAATATCAAGACTGTTATCACCATCTGGCAGAGATTCATCAACGATAGAGCAGTATGAACAGCTTTAGACCTTTTCCCTTATCATTTAGTATTTAAACAAATCACATACAAATTGTATCCCATCTGAATAATTTTTTTAAATCAGAAAATAATGCACTGACCTTGATGAACATTGCAAACGAAAGGACTTCCTGTTGTTAATTCTAATTGTTTAAAAACTTGTTCATAAAAGTTTGTTTTCCCTACAAACGGAACAAAATTAGAGTGTCTCTATCATGATCCAGTATACTGGCGATATGTCTTTAAGGGATAAACTTAATCGCCAGTATACTGGCGATGTGTCTTTAAAGAGTTAAAAGAGGTTTATGTATAAATATTTAGCGTAGCAGGAAGTTAGCATAGGGAACCATGTGTGAAATTAATTCTGGATTTTGTCAGTTGGGTACCAGATTAAAATTATTGCACTTTAATTGAAAGTAAATGTCTGTTGTGTTTATTACATTGCTAGAATTCCTGTATTGTGTTGTCTCCCTTGATGTGTTGCAGGTTGTTGACTGACACAGGAGAAAATGTTATCGAACCCCTGGACTTTGCCAATATGTCCTCGTTAGACTTGATGGGTGGCATGGAGGTCAACCCAGGCTGCACACCCATTAGGTTTCCTCACCATAGTAATGGATGTCAGGAGTCACTTTTTGGTAAATTTGTTAGTGGAGATATGTGCAGCACACAGAAGACATAGGTCAGACAGATATGTGCGGCGCACACAGAAGACATAGGTCGGACAGATGGGAAATTTGCTTAGAATAGTAACTCAGGATAAATTCAACAAAGACATGACATGTACATATTCAAAGTGGTATCAGGATAGATCAGACAGACATGTACTTAGAGCTGTAACACAGGATAAGGCAGACAAACAAGACATAAACATAGGTAAAGTAGTATCAGGATAGATCAGACAGACATGTATTTAGAGAGGTAACAGGATGGGTCAGACAGGCAAGACGTGCTTAAATTGGTAACACAGAGTAGATCAGACAGACAGCACATAAAGTCAGTTGCATATTCTTTACAGCAGGAACGTCAAACTCAGGGTCGCAAAAAGCCATATGGGTCATATTTGTGGTGTCAGGAACGTCATACACAACTAATTGCAATTATTTAATAAAAATTGTAGCAAAATATTTTTGCTGCAGGTGTGCTTGCAAAGGGCCACATGCTTGCTTTACAAGACATTGCAGTACCAACTCCAGCATTTTCTGGCTGTTTATGATTTCACTAGGCAGTTTTACTTTCACTAGTTTGTCATTGCATTCTGAGGGGTCAGCTCTGGAAACCAATGTAAGGCAGTCTGCTACCAAATTGCCCACAGCTGGGATTGAACCCGACATCCCAGAATTATGAAACATGTTTGTAGAACCTAAGCAACAGGTGCTAACAGACAACACATATACATAGTTGAAAAAAAACTAAAAAGATAAATCAGACAGACTAGAAATGTACTCAGAGTGGTGACAGACAGACAACAGATTAGACAGACAAAACACACAGTGGGCCAACACGTTACACATCAGTCACGGAACGTTGCTACTGGCATGACAATGGTTCCAGAACTGAGAAAACCTATCCACAGTTGAATGTTTATGGCAGTCTTTATGTTGTTGTGTAAGCTTGTCACAAAGTGAGGTTATGGCGGAAGCCAAAAACATAGAATGCTATCTTTCGTTCAGTTTTTGAAAAAAAAAGGTTTTTAAAAATATTTTTGAATTATCTGCTTGTTTAGCCACCTGGGGGACTGCCGTGGTGTAGCAGCTAGATGCTTGCCTGTGGATCAGAAGATTTTGGGTTCAGGTCGTAATGAAGCAGGACTTTTTTTTTTAATGACCTTGGCTCCCAGATTGACCCAGCCTTAAGTGGGTACCAGGTAAATTCCTGGTAAGTAAAGGCAGCCAGTGTGATGTTGACCACATCACCCACCAAGTGCCAACCTGTCTGTCAAATATAGTTCTAGCCCTATATACCCAATATATCTGCAGGCGTAATATGGGTCCTTTACTTGACTTTGCCGTCTGAAAGGGAATTTTTTTCTCCATTTTACAGTTATTTGCCACTTCATGCAGCTTGCGGTAGAAAAAGTTGTCAGTTGTTGGTAAAGCAGTTGTTGTATTTTTCCCTTTGCAGAAAATTATGAGAAAAAGCCCAGTCCTGGTACCTTGAAGATGGCTGCCTCCCAGGCAGGTCTCAGTACACCACCGTCTATTCTACGTCGCGGGAAATATAAACGGGTTTGTCTGCTTGTGTGACTCCTTTGTATGTGTGTGTCCGTGCGTTTGCGCGCACTCCACTTCTGTCTCAGCTTGCCAAGGACCATGTCTCTTGTAATATTACATTAAAGATCAAGATTTCTGGTGCAAAGAATAGAACCATTAAGCTATTGTGTGTGGTCTAAGAAGGCAGACTGGGCGTCTCATTTCATAGAGAATTTTAGCCAAAACATCTGACAAACTGTGAACAAGGCTTAAGCTCACAGGACTAAACGGGCAGTTTTCAAAAACAAAACAATTTTTAGCCAAATTTGCAGGACCAATCACGCCCTTTTCTTTGGGTGTTTTTGGTTTTGCTAGGCAATTTACATTAAGTAATTTACTTGTTGATTGGTCAGTACTGCATACACTTGTCAACACCAAGTAGATTGGTTCCAGATAGCCAGCAGCTGAATTCAACTAGGTATTTCGGAATTACAACACAACACTTTTGCCACCAGCGCTGACTAAAAAGTTGTAGATGAAACCAAAAATTTAGTGAAGGAGGGACATGATGAAAATGAGAAAGACATTGAATGTGGTACAGGAAATTCCACAGATAGTATGGCATGGTGCATGTTGAAGAAAACCTATCATTTAAAAGAGGGTCAAGGCTATAAGAAGAAACATTGCAAAATGGCTGATACGATTAGTGTCAAATCAGCCACTTTACATAAGAGATGTTCTGGTGCCTTTTTTTTAATGGGATGGTTGACCCTAATGGTGAAATAGACTGCAGAGTTTATCAGGGCCAGATGTTAGGTTGGTCCAGATTTCTACAGCCTGTCCACATTTCTAGGGTGCAAGGATCACAAGACCAACAACTGTGAATTAAGACCCATTCTGTCATCTCCAAGGTCTTAGGTCATCCGTAATATTTTATGTTCATTGTCTCGGTTTTTATAGTTAATGTTGAATTTAACATTTGATCATTGTTATTTGTATATGTTCTCTCTCTCTCTCTCTCTCTCTCTCTCTCTCTCTCTCTCTCTCTCTCTCTCTCTCTCTCTCTCTCTCTCTCTCTCTCTCTCTCTCTCTCTCTCTCTCTCTCTCTCTCTCTCTCCCCCTCTTCTCTCTCTCTCTCTCTCTCTCTCTCCCTCCCTCTTTCTTTCTTTTCTCTCTCTCTTTCTCTGTGAGTGAGTGAGTGAGTTACTTAGTTACACTACTGTTGTTATATTCAAATACATATTTCAATTTATTTTTGGATGTAAGGTGCAAGGGTTGACAAGAATAGGACTTCAGTTCATAAAATTTTAATATGACAGTGACAAGACGTGGTTGTACATTAATGATGCCTAGATTATGTTGAGGCAGCATGTGTAAATTGACTGACTGGTTTCAGCTTCAGGGAGCCACTCTTGCTGAAGAACTAGAGAACGTCTTGCATGAGCTGGAGGAGGAGCCCATGGATGGAATCAAATGTGATGACCCTACGTCTGAAACTCAAGCCAACCAGACACAACCTGCACCCTCTACTCCAGTCCGCATGCCATTAGAAATCCTGCCCTTTTCTCCCTCACAGGTGATTTTTAAAAAATATATTCTCCCCTTGGTTTAAACATTAACCCTTTGAGACATTGTTATATATCGCAGGATTTTTCTCAGTGTTTTTGGTGTTGATTAAAAATTGACTCTTGTTACCATAATGTTTTGACAGCAAATTCTTTATAATAAAATCCAATGAGAACCCTCTTAGGAAGCAGTCAGGTCATGCGGGTGTAGAAGGAAGTGAGGAAACTGATAGGCTTGCAAGTAAGGCTACTGTAGAGGGAGGGCGACCCATGGGCCAGGATGATGTACTGAATGCTCTGCAAGAGGTAAGACCTTTGCGAGAGCCAAGTGATGACTGTGAATCTGCACTATTGACAGATTGCAAGAACAGCAAGTTAAATGAGGTGGGGCCAACCAAGAGCACTCTGCAGGAAATGAAAGAAGAAGAAGAAACCACAGAACTAATGTCATCAGCCGCTACACGCTGCAGGATTTAACAAGTAGGGGAATATAAGCACTTATGGACTGAATGGTTTAATGTGCAGTGAAAATGGTCTGTCGACTAACTTACTTTTACATCATGCTTGTTAAGGGTTATTGGATCTACACGCCCCCCTCCCCACATGACCCTGGAGACTCACTGCTCAATGGGTGCCCTAGATTTGCTCCGTGATAGTGGCGTCAGCTGATCAAATACTTGCCACAGCACCCCTATAGAAGTCCTATTGGGGATGCTACTCCAGCGGTTTGAAGGAGTTTCTGTAACAGCCTCTTTGCAATATGTGCAAACTCTTTTCAGGGCTGAAAGGATCGGACTTCCGACATGTCAGACTTCATAAAGTCTTTTTAGGAGTTTACAGCCAACCAGCCACTGCATGTAAATCTTTGAGAATGGGGAAGTGTGGAGGAAAAAACCACACTCACTCATTATTCTACTTCTCCTGCTTCTTCAACAACATCCTGAGCCCAACATTCAACCATCTACTGCATGTAAATCATTGAGGATGGGGGAAGTTTAGAGGCAGTGGTCACATTAACTTCGATGTTGATTGCTGCATGAATTTCCCAAGAACATATTTATGAACTATCTCTACCACAGCAACAACTGTTCTCCTAGTTTTAGGACAATAGTACAAGAGTTGCACAGTGGAAGAGATGGTGGTCTCACCATAAGACAGCAGTAGCCAAACATTATTGTGGAAACAGCACATAATTGTTTTAACAGTAGATTTATTTAACTATTGTCTGGAAAGACGGAAAGGTGCCAATCCAAGATTTATTTAGTACAAATGAAAGATAAGGAATCCTTTTTTCACCTTCAGACGTATGGGGTATATAGGGCTAGATCTATGTTTGATAGACCAGTTGGAATTCTTTGTGTGATGTTGTCACCATTATGCCAGGATTTATTTTGCAGTAATGTGTAATTCCTCTTTTTGGACGCAACAACCATACATGATATAACTGGTATCCAACGTTTCATTTCAGTTTTTAAACAGCCCTTGCCGCTCCACTAACAGTACAGTGACCTCCACCCCAGTTTTTGCTCAGGTTTACAACCATGCAGGCATGAGTGGGTGAGTTTACTCATTTTGTTTATTGATTTAAATGGGTACCAGGTCAGTTATTTGGGGAGGGAGGGGGCTGTTTTCTTATTTTCCTTTTATGTTTCCTTGGCTGCATTTTGGGAAGGGAAAAAAGATTAGAACCAGTACCTCCTTAACAAGCAGGTAATTAGAGATTTGCTGAAATCTGAGGTGTTGGACATATATCGATATATATACATATATCGCGGCCTTGCTGTAAACCACAACACATCGTGCCAACTGCCTTTTGAAGGTGAATGCAGAAGAAGAGGAAGTTTATTTATTCACTGGAATAAGATCTGTAATTGTAGTCGATTCTTATGCTTGTTATCTCCCAATGGAGCATAGGCCCTCTACCAACTAATGGCATGCCATGTATAGACATGTTTATAATTGCCTGGATTTTGCAGGAAGGCCATTGTGTCATGCCGACCCTCCTTCATTGCCTCCTTTGACATGCATGGTAGGTTAGAGTGTGGATATATGCAACCCTAATTCTTGGGTCTCAGTTTGACTGTTTAATTGCTTTATATTGTCCATGTCTGTATCTTCTTTTTCTTTGCATTCACCAGCTGTTAACTCCAGCAAAAGGGTCTGGTTGATTGTCCATCTCTGGGTTTTAGTCTTGTTCCAGAACATAAGTTTTGTGTGTACACCCATTTTACAGATTGGGGGGGGGGGGGGGAGTTGTTTTTTTGTATGCGGACTGTTGGTTCCTCACCTCTCAGGTAGATGCACTCCTACTTCAAAGGAAACTCCCCTCACAATGGGGCGCTGAAACATACACAGGTAGTCTATGTCTGCATCATATATACACCTTGCTGACTAATCATGTGACGAGACTTTGCTGACTAAACATGTGACGAGACTTTGCTGACTAAACATGTGACAAGACTTTGCTGACTAATCTTGTGACGAGACTTTGCCGACTAAACATATGACGAGACCTTGCTGACTAAACATGTGACGAGACTTTGCTGACTAAACATATGACAAGACTTTGAATAGTTAACCCTGTGTTTGACATTAACAGAGTCAGAACTCCCAACGGTCAGCTAGTAGTGCTGAAAACCTCCCCTCCCGGCACACCTGGCGTCTTCAAGCAGGAGATTGTGGAGCCCATACAGAATCCACCAGACGAGGCTTGGGTAAGATGTGTGTCTGCTTTCATTAACATGTTGCTGACAAACTTTGACAATTGTCGATTTTCCGGCCATATCCTCTGGCGAATAACTTCGACGATCATCGAATTCGTGACATGTAGTTTGTCGCCTGATGTCCCTACCGATAGTTTTTTAATTCAACTGCATCCGGGTGTTTTTATTATTCTAAGATGGCTGCACTCACGATTGATACTGATTTGAGCCAATACAAGCGTTGTTTTCAGTGAAATCTTTTAAAATTTTTGTTACCGGCGTGTATTTAGCCTTTTTTTTTTTTTTTTTTTTTCATGTCTGATGGTGAAAACCAGACCAGTAGTATTGATTATTCGGAATCTGCCAGCGAGCGCTGAAAATGATAATTCCTGGATAAGTAGAGATTCACCTGTGAATGTTATCATCATATTGCAACTAAAAGTAACGACAACGATAATGGTCTTGACGGCGGAGTTGATGTAGGTGCATCTGAAGAAAGAAGTGGGGAGTGGCACAAGAGACCAGAACATTTCTACAGCTGAAAATGATGTTCGTGAATGCAGAAAGACTGCTCAGAATAAGCAATCTTCCTCCATACAAAGAACATAAGGTGCCATGTCAAACACAGTTGGATGTGCGCTGATTAATTTTGTGAAGAAAAACCAATTGGCTATCCTCCGACTAACGGCCGGTAAAGATGGTGGCCGCAAAATATCCGCACGAGCCGCAGTCACGTGTCAATTGCGCGCTTCCGGCTACTTTATGCTCGCTTTTCCGGCGACAATGGCTACCGCCCGTGGCTTCCACAGCTGCAAGAGATGCGGAAGCTGCTGCTCGTGAGTCCTAGCCATCTAGTTTAGCCCCAATCCACTCCGCATGAGCGGCGTGGGGGCCACATGGCGGTAGCGGTTGTTGGCGGAAAACCGCAAATTAAGTAGCCGGATATTTTTATACTTTACTGACCGTTGGTCGGAGGATAGCCAACCAATTGAAACTAAAAAAATCAGATCGTCCCGTTTTGTGTGACAAAATAGAAAGGCATGTTGGCTGTTACCTGTCATGACACTAAGAGAGTTCACCTGATATCTGCTGTTTACTTCAGTGGTGTTATAGACAAGACAGTTTGAAATAGTGGAATTCTTGAGGGCAGAATAATAAATAAGTCAGTTTTTGCAGAAAAAATACAACATTATGGGGGGTGTCAATCACTTCGGCCAGCTATGTGCAAACTACCCCTGCCTGCCTAGATCCTATAATTGGTACCTGCTATTATATAATTTATTTATTTTTAGCTGACACCGCTCTGGTCAATAGCATATAAGCTACAACACTGCCAACTCTGTGTAAAGAGGTTCACAGCAAAGAACGAACGAATGAAAGAACTTTATTTTCAAAGGGTTACAAAATGGGCACGCATACCCGCCTGACATTCGGCCCTTCTGACATTCGGCCCAACTAAGCACTCATTTCTCAGAGTACCAATACCTGTTATCAATAATGCATGTTATGAATATAATAAAGAAATATAAATTATAGAAAAATGCATACACACACATTCGTATATACTCACACACACGTATACATACTCCTACGTTCTCATGCACACTCATATACAGTCATATGTAATACATACACACATGCATCTACATACATACACAAACATAAAACACATAAGAAGAGGAAGGAAGAAGGAAAAAGAAGAAGCAGATGAAGAAGAGGTTCAGGCAGGATGTCAATCTTGCTGTTATTAGACCTGCTGTTCTTCAGCACAGTGTAACACCTTCAAGACCACACGTCACAGCCCGACGACTTACTGAGCGCCATTTTTACTTTAGATATGAAAACCAAGGTACAAACCAGACTGTAAAGTTTGTAAGGCTGCAGGTAAAAGAAGCTAGACTTGCATATACTGCCCAAATTGCAATACACCTCTATGCTTGATACCCCCTTGTTCAAGCTATTTCACACAGTTGAGGATTATCAACATTCCTGAAAAAAACAAAGGGCTACTGCTACAGCTTCAACTCCAGTTAATAAAGGAAGTAGCTAAGACTTCAAATAGAGGTGCTTTTAAAATCAAGCATTCACACATGCTCATTGTAACACATTTTAATAAACAAAATAAACGAAAAATAAAATTTCACTTTATTCACATTTTTATTCCTTTTTCGTGTTTAAATATTTGGTAAATCACTAAAAAAAAATGTGCTCCTATTTAGCTAATTTTATTCATCATCAACCCTGTTCAGTAAGAACTGGAAAAAGATATGGTTTTAGAACATCTCCTAAAATTTATATAAATAGCCAAACAAATTCAAGATGGCCACCGTGATCGGGTGACATATTTGTATAAATTTTTTTGTCATGTGTAGCAACCATTTGCAGTGATGCTCTGAAGGTTTCAAAACCCTATGCTCGTTTTTAAATTTTGTATGAATTTTATTAGAAAACCAGTCATTTTGGAAAAAATATCCAAACACCCTTAGTATTGGGAGACTATGTACCAGTGCAGAGGAAGAAATAGAAATGTTCATTTATTGTGAGTAAATAGGTTTTTCCCATGTGTTCTGTTTTCTTTAAAGTTCTGACAATAAACTGAAGCACTTCTCCTTAAATGATCTGATGCCCAAAAGGATTAAACTGCTAAATTCTTTGCTAGAGTTCTAATGAGGAGGACCTCGGCAAGGTTCTGAAAGAAGAGGACACGGGCTACCAGGCGGACCAGTCGTCGGCGGTCACCCCAGCTATACAAGCAAGACTCTCCAAACGAAAGCCCAACAAGGAGGTAGTCAGTGACAGTTTATTGATGAAAGTTTGACTGTTTGTATGTGTGAACCCAGAAAGGAGGTAGTCAATGACAGTTCATAAAAGTGTGACTGTTTGTATGTGTCAGCCCAGAAAAGAGGTAGTCAGTGACAGTTTGTTCATGAAAGCTTGACTGTTTGTATGAGTCAAACAAGGAGGTAGTCAGTGACAGTTTATTGATGAAAGTTTGACTGTTTGTATGTGTCAACCCAGAAAGGAGGTAGTCAATGACAGTTCATAAAAGTGTGACTGTTTGTATGTGTCAGCCCAGAAAAGAGGTAGTCAGTGACAGTTTGTTCATGAAAGCTTGACTGTTTGTATGAGTCAAACAAGGAGGTAGTCAGTGACAGTTCATGAAAGTTTGACTGTTTGTATGTGTCAGCCCAGAAAGGAGGTAGTCAATGACAGTTCATGAAAGTTTGACTGTTTGTATGTGTCAGTCCAACAAGTGGGTAGTCAGTGACGGTTTGTTCATAAAAGTTTGACTGTTTGTATATGTCAGCCTAGCAAGGAGGTAATGACAGTCTGTTCATTACATTTTTTTTGTTTATATGTGTCAGCCTAGCAAGGAGGTAGTCAATAACAGTTTGTTTATGAAAGTTTCACTGTTTGCATGTTTGTTTGTTTCAGCCAACATGAAAGTAGTCAGTGACAGTTTGTTCTTTAAAGTTTGACTGTTTGCATGTTTGTTTGTTTCAGCCAGCATGAAAGTAGTCAGTGACAGTTTGTTCATGAAAGTTTGTATGTATGTGTCAGCCCAACAAGGAGGTATTCAGTGACAGTTTGTTCATGAAAGTTTGACTGTCTGTGTGTGTCAGCCCAACAAGGAGATAGTCGGGGACAGTTTGTTCATGAAAGTTTGACTGTTTATATGTGTCAGCCCAGAAAATAGGTAGTCAGGGACATTAATGGAGAGTCATTTTCATTGATACAAACCAGATATCAGAAGTAGTAGTTATCACTGTTTTCATAATTCTTGTCGACAGCACATCCAACACAACTGGCGAGTGAGGCAGTCGTTAGAGGGCAAACTGGGACAGGAGAACACATCAGAGACCATGTGCCACTCACCGGAAACACCGGTTAGCTTAACTGTTCTGGCTTCATTAAAAAAAATTTCTTTCCATTCGTTATTTTTTTTTAAACTGTTTTTGTTGTGTCTTTTCTGTCATTATCATTATTTCACTATCAGTTTTCAGCTGCTGGTCTTACCTAGTGTGGTAATGTTTTGTCTTGTTGTGACCTGTCATGTCTTTTTACCTGTCCTGCCCAGACCTTTCTTGTCATGGCATTCTGTTTCTTGTCTTCTGTTTGATCTTGTCCTCTCCTGTCTTTGGTTGACTGTAACTTATTGATTAGCTGCTTGTGCTGACCTGTCTTATCTTGACTGATCTTTTTTCCTGACCTGTCTTGTCTTGACCGATCTTTTCTCCTGACCTATCTTGTTTTGTTCTGTCTTGTCTCCTGACCTATCTTTCTTGTCTTGCCTGTAATTAATGCAGTCTCCACAATGCTTGTCTACTGACCCAGTGCTCATGTGTTTGATTCATTTGCGATGATGGTCAGTTTGTTGTGTCAATGAGCTGCTTCCATGATAAACACACTATAAAACAGGTACTGTTTTATCATCACCGGCTAGTCTGGAGAGAGTGACCCAGCTAAATAAGATCAATTCTGATGCAATAAAGTCGATTCTCTCCCTTTTTTAAACTCTGATAGTGGCAACTGCTATTACTAATACTACAACTGTACATGTATGGTTGTCTCTTGTATGTTGCTGCCCATGGAAAGAGCAAGTCGTTGGTAGGAGACTCTAGCCTGCTGCTGTCCCCACCAGCTATCATCCAGGAGACACTGCCTGAAGAGGTCCTTGAGGAGGTGTTTTGTCTACCCCATAAGGTAACTTACCTGTCACAACTATTGTCTTCCCTTCTGCTAAGTATCTCCCAGTGCAGCTCCTTAAGACGCTGCCCGTAAAGGTACTCGAGGTGTTTTGTCTACCCCATAAGGTAACTTACCTGCACACAACTATCATCTTTATTGCTGTCCAGTATCTTCCACTACAACCTCATTACCATCTATTTTATATCTTTATACCCGTTACCATCTCCTGTGGCTCGTACCATGTTTCTATATTACTTAACTTTTTCTGTAGGAATGCAGAGGTGGGCTCATATGCTACAATCAAGGTTTACTTTAACCATGTCCTCCTTATGGAGCATTTTGGGTAGACATTAACCTGACCAGTGAAGAAGAAGAAGTTAACACAACAGTTTAGTGCCCTCACTGCTGGCAGAGCTATTGAGCATGAGCATGCACAACATGTGTGTGTGTGTGTGTTGCTTAAGTCATATAGGGTGTATGATGCCAGCTCAATGTTTGTATAGACTAGTTGGGATCAGAAGGTTTTGTGATTAATGTCACAACACCTACTTTTGCTTTCCAAGACACTTCCTGATGTCCATTTGAGACAGGAAGCCCATATGAGTTTTTAAGAATCAAACACATTTATGTCAAGTTAGAAGGCAACTTGTGCATTTCGATGGCTGTCAATGATATAGTACTCATTAAAAATATGGTTACTGAACTTAGCAGATTTCTGACTTCTGAAGCACGAGTGAAATCCCTCGAGAGCCATTAAGATTTAAAATATTCAGCTTCTTATTCATCATCATTCCTCAACTTTTTAATGAACTTTACTTAATTATTGTTATTTAATGTTTATCAGTCTTTAAATAAAGTATATAATAGCAACACTTTAACCTATCATGCATGTCATAAGAGTTGACTCAGCTGGATACTTCATCTGTAGAAAACTGTAACTGTAATCCATCAGTTATGAACTCTTTTACAAAGGACTTCATGTGAGTTTGTTGAGGGCCTATGCTGCATTCAGAGAGAAAGGACAGAATAATATGATTTTCTGACATAATAACACCTCTTGCACCTCATATAATTACTATACTGTTTATAGCAACTTCTTAATATACGTGTTTGTGAAATGAACAGGCAGACAGATTGGCTGGTGCTGCACAGCTGAGTGGTGAACTTATGCATGACAAACTAATGGTCAGGGCCTTTTGGGAGCACAGGAGCAATGCAGAGACATAAACAGGTCATTATGGTCTGGAGAGGATGGTTCAAGTGGGAGGGATCATGGGATCTGCTGAACTCTGTACACTTATAGGGGAGGCAAGATCAAACTGCTACTGCCTCCATCAGGATTGGAACTCTTCGCTGGCTGCTGAAGATTAGGATGGAGTGCTTATGGGAATGTCCTAAGTGCTGTGTTATCAATTCTTAGATCAACACTCAATATACACGTGAAGTTCTTCTACCTGTAAAGTTTTCAGATTTCAACAACAAAACTTCAGACAACACTTTAAGGTTTCACATGTGCAGGCTTTTAGATTTCAATACGCAGCAAATGTATTAAGATTTTATGTAGCTTCGTACAACACATGTATTAAGATTTTAAGTAGCTTGGTACAGCACATTTTTTTTGCCGGTGCAACAGATTCTGTGCACTGCGCTGAGATTCTTGAGACAGGCTTGAGATAGAAGTAGAACAGAACACTTAAGGGTTACACCCGTGTGCCATTTTGTTGATCCGTCGAATAAACAAAACTAACACGACACATGTATTTTAATCTAGCTTTACACAACACGTATTACCATTTTATCTAGCTTTACACAACACATATTAGGATTTTATCTAGCTTTACACAACAAATGTATTAATATTTCAAATACCGGCCATCAGCACTTGTCTTCACAACCATTTCCAGAGTATCACAGGTGCTGCATATTTAGATTTTGGTAAGTAGTTAACAGCACTGAATTGATACTGTCCCTCATTTGTTGGCTGGCCTCCCTATGTTCACATGTTAGTGGGGCCAGTCATGTTTAACAGCCATTTTCTCCTCTCTGTTGTGTTCACATGTTGGTGGGTGGAGCCTTGTTTAACAGCCATTTTCTCCTCTCTATGTTCACATGTTAGTGGGGCCAGTCACGTTTAACAGCCATTTTCTCCTCCCTATGTTCACATGTTGTTGGGTAGAGCCATGTTTAACAGTCATTTTCTCCTCTCTGTTGTGTTCACATGTTGGTGGGTAGAGCCATGTTTAACAGCCATTTTCTCCTCTCTATGTTCACATGTTAGTGGGGCCAACCCTGGTTAGCAGCCATTTTCTCCTCCCTATGTTCACATGTTGTTAGGTGGAGCCATGTTTAACAGTCATTTTCTCCTCCCTATGTTCACATGTTGTTGGGTGGAGCCATGTTTAACAGCCATTTTCTCCTCTCTATGTTCACATGTTAGTGGGGCCAGTCACGTTTAACAGCCATTTTCTCCTCCCTATGTTCACATGTTGGTGGGTGGAGCCTTGTTTAACAGCCATTTTCTCCTCTCTATGTTCACATGTTGATGGGTGGAGCCATGTTTAACGGACATTTTCTCCTCCCTATGTTCACATGTTGATGGGTGGAGCCATGTTTAACAGACATTTTCTCCTCCCTATGTTCACATGTTGATGGGTGGAGCCATGTTTAATGGACATTTTCTCCTCCCTATGTTCACATGTTGATGGGTGGAGCCATGTTTAACAGACATTTTCTCCTCCCTATGTTCACATGTTGATGGGTGGAGCCATGTTTGGCAGCCATTTTCTCCTCCCTATGTTCACATGTTGATGAGTGGAGCCATGTTTAACAGACATTTTCTCTTCCCTATGTTCACATGATGGTGGGGCCAGACATGTTTAACAGCCAATTTCATTTTTATAAAATGTAATAAATGGGGTATGCAGAGGTCAGACAGTAAGTACCATTGCACATACAAGGAAGATATGCAGCAGACTAACAAAAGGCTCTCAGCTACAATGAGAGGGGATAACAAATTAAAGTACTGCATATCACCTATATTGATTAATGCATGTGAGATGTGAGAGGGACACATTCTCCAGACAGTAAAGTATTGTTAGTGGTCACTAATGTAAAAATACAAAATGTAATGTATCAAGAAGATGGGTAAAATAAATGACTGCATGGGGGTGTCTTACATCCTAAATATGGGTGCCTGAGAATGTGGATTTTATTTGTAGTGTCAGTACAGAGTCTCAGCCCACCATGTTTGTTATATTTTCTACTGCATTTTTGTCTTCACAGTTGACATTTTGGTTAAAAAACATTTTTGGTTTTTAATTTAGTGTTTATTTGAACTTTCTTTTTTCTGACAACCAGAAGGTGCAATTTTGGTTCATTCCCAGGCATGGGGAGATTAGACCGGCTTGCTGGGAGAATAGCCAGTCTTCAGTAGGCGAAACATGAGTTCTTTTATTTTATTTCACCCCATCTCAGGGACTCGAAGATATCTTTGAGAATTCCCGGGAAAGTTCAGTAGTATTGGGCTGTTAGGGTGTGAATTGAACACCAACTAAAACTAACCGTACACCTTACCCCCTTCCATACCTCCCATAATATTAGACTTTCCCAGGAATTCCCTATGAAATACTCAAGTCCCCGAGATGGGGTGAAATCAAAGAAAAACGGAACACGCCATGATAACGTACTGCTTTGAGATTAGGCTAGCACTGCCTCATAAAACGAGTATCAGAATTGTCTGTAGGAAGAAGAGATGAACAAGGCATATCCCAGTACTAGCTTACTTCCATAGCTGCGTTCTCACTAAAAGTAGTCCTCATATCATACACGCCATTGATTAACTAACTAACATTGGTGACCAGATTTTGATTGGCCATTATGATACTATTTGCCATAGGACATTACATCCAGCTCTCATGAATCATGTTTGCTATTCATTTGACAAATAATTCCCACACACACAGGGGGGGTGTGTTTTACAACATTATAAGGCACACTTCCTGATGACCTTATATGTCACACTTCCCGACCTTATATGTCACACTTCCAGACCTTATATGTCACACTTCCCGACCTTATATGTCACACTTCCCGACCTTATATGTCACACTTCCAAACCTTATATGTCACACTTCCAGACCTTATATGTCACACTTCCAGACCTTATTTGTCACACTTCCAGACCTTATATGTCACATTTCCCAACATTATAGAGCATAGAAGACTACACCCGCCCAGATACTGCGGGCATAAACCAAATAGAGGAATCCTAGTGGTAGGCTATTATACGCTGTGTTCTGCTGTCTCATTCTGTGTTTTCTTGGTGTCCATGTTTAATAACCGATTTTATTTTTCCAGCCAGAGCACGGAAAGAGAGCACAGAAAAGGTCAGTGAAGAAAGTAATGTCTACCGATTCACCGCTAAAGCAGGCAGCAGAGGTAATTTATTGAATGAGAGATGTGGGTGGCCAGATTGCTTGTATTGAAATTTGTGGTGTTTTGACTTGGTCTGTTTGCATGACACATACCTGGCCTACACATTAGTGAACAATATGACTATTGTCTTTCTTTAACCCCAGCACAATCGTTTGCTTGATTTCAGCCAGAATATTCTGGTTTAATCTACCTCATGTTTCCTGGTCTATGATATTATTTGAAGACTGATTAGTGGAGCTGCTTACCAAGTGGCTAGCTGTGGTTCAATTCTCCAGCTGTTTTTTTTTTTTCTCTTCTAGAGAATCCACTTCACTGCACCAGGTTTTATCCCATATGTCTCAGTCTCTCTCCACAGAATAGCTAGCTGCCTGCCAAGAGTTTCGCACAGAGCACATTCTCCATAGCTGCAATGATGATCCCCTGGGGCCTCCGTTAAAATTGCACTGAAAGGCACCATCAGGAAACGAAGCCACGACCTCCAGAGCGTGAGGCAAACTGCTTGACCACAGATACCCCCACAATCCCCCATTTTTATAAGTGTCTGTGTTTGTCTGTCTGTTCTGCTATCATTGTCTGCATTGCTCTATAAACAGGTATATGATACTACCTCTGAAAGTGGATTTTCACCAATGGTGGCTGCTTTCTATAGTATGTCATTATTTCTGAGTATTTGACCATTAAAGAAAATCTATTTAGTTAATATTTTCAAACTGTAATTATGTGTGTTGTAGTGCCTGAAAGTAACTGAAGAAATCTATTTTTTTCTCATCTGCAGACTGACCTGTATTTGACAATGTGTGTATGGCTTGAAGAATGATCCACTCGATGACACAGCTTGCAGAGAACAGTTTTATGTTTTTGGCATTTAGATCTCATTGAAACTAGTCTCAAGCATGGGATTTAACTAGGTCACACACAAAAGTATTGTTGTATTTTACATATGTAATCCTATGCAGATAACTCTTACAGCAAGTACAATGGAAAGCATTAAGATTAAGATAATAGATCAATGCTGCTTGTATAATTTGATCTGACCCTTCCCCATCCTCATAGCCTCCACCTGCCTGTAACTTGTATGTGCCCGCCCCCCTACCATTTTTAACATGGCTGGAGAACCCCAGTCTGGCGGTGATCAGAAGAACAGTATTGCTAGGTCTGTTGTCTGCAATGATTCCTATATACTATATACATGCTGGTTCATTGGTTGTGATGCTTGTGCCGTAACCACGTGATGAATGACTGTTGACTCCGAAAGTCAAAGGAGAAGACGAAGAATATTATTTATTGACTATTTATGCCTTGTGCTTTTAGTAAATGTATAGGATGATTAGAGTTTTACATGTAGCTATTCTTTATAAACAATTGTTTTATAACCATTGCTGTCATTTTGTATTATAAATATTCACAAGTTGGTGTTGTTGTTGTTGTTTTTCCCCCCAAGCTGCTAAGTTGCCTACCCTCGGCAGCCTAGTGGGATCTTCACGAAGCTGCTGTGCTAAAGACCTCTGCAGTGTTCTGGCAATTGTAGTAGATTTCCATGGGATGTGAAAGTATTTCTTTGTAAATTCTCAGTTGTATTGTCCCAAGGATATTGTGTAGAAACATGTGTACATTGATTTTAAAACATAAGGAGAACATGGGCTGAGCTGCGGTAATGGAAAGGATAGGATAACAACAGTTGTATTGTCCCAAGGATATTGTGTAGAAACATGTGTGCATTGATTTTAAAACATAAGGAGAACATGGGGTGAGCTGCGGTAATGGAAAGGATAGGATAACTTGATTTGAGTTCGTTGAGTGTCTGTGCTCCATTGAGGGATACAGAAGAAGGGTGATTATGTGGAGATTTTAAGGGTAGCAGTTTTAATGCTAATTGATGGTCGGTCACTGAGTGTCCATTTTTAACTCCGGGAAACGCATTCCAGATTTCAGTGTGTTGTTTTTCTGTCAACAGAGATTAGTAAAGTGTTAAAAACCATGTTTCCTCTTACTTCTGCATGCCTAGGCACACAAAAATGAGATTAGTCACTGATGACTTCCTCGGAAACTCCAGAGAAGTAAAAAAAAAATGAGAGCACATTGTCAGCTAGGAGAAAACCTGGTTAGACCTCAATTATGTGTAATTAGTGGATGCTTCATTGTGCTTCTGGACTGGAATTCTGTGGGCTTTCATTTATCTCATATCTTACAGAATGCAGAATTATGTTTAGTTAATATCGGAAAATGTGTTGTGTGTGAAACTGAACAGATTTCATTTATCTCATATCTTACAGAATGCAGAATTTAGTTAATATCGGAAAATGTGTTGTGTGTGAAACTGAACAGATTTCATTTATCTCATATCTTACAGAATGCAGAATTTAGTTAATATCGGAAAATGTGTTGTGTGTGAAACTGAACAGATTTCATTTATCTCATATCTTAGAGTATGCAGAATTATGATTAGTTAATATTGGAGAATGTGTTGTGTGTGAAACAGAACAAATTTCATTTATAACATATACTGTAGAGATGGCTGCACCTGGAAGTGCAGCACGTTCATTCTGTGATTCATTAGCTGTGCTGTTTGTCATACATTATATTATACAGACAAGTTGGTTAAACTCAAACTTTGGGTACCGGAATGGCTAACCTAGTCAACACATGCCTGAAGAAGTCAGATGTGTTGGCCAAAAGTAGCAAATATTGCTGCCATGCTGTAAACAGACACAACTCAGTTACATCTTTGGATGAACGCAGAAGAAGACGATACTCTGGATTGTTCGTAGTTTACCAAAACAAGGTCTGTAATGACAAGTAGCTACCGTTACCTCATAAAAGAAAAAGAAAAATATATTTTCAACGAAACAAACACAAAGTCGAGTGGAACAATGTTAAATATCTTGACACCTAAACTCAGCAGCAGGTCTTGTTTAGTGTTGCCACAACTTTGTCTCGGCTTGTCTGAAACTTTGAAACTGAAAAATACAGTAAATTGTTTTCGTTAATTGGTAGTCCCTAAAACTGAGATACGAATGTTTTTAGAAAAATACAGCAATGATGTCTCCCTCACTTCCTAATTCTTGACTAGTTCTCCATTGGGTAGCCTATCTTATATTGATATGTTACTGTCTCCACGATCAATATTTTTTGTTTAGCTTCCTCATTATGTACTGCAGAATGTGTTATCTTGATCAATGACTCCATACATGACCAAACCACTTTGGTTTCCGGATCAGACAGCAGTTTGTCAGATGAGTAACAGCAGTGACTTCCCCAAAGATGTGCTTGCTTTGTTGTATTTGAGCTGCAGTTTTCACTTGGATGGTATATGACGAATTTCCTTCAATCTGTTTATTGGATGAAGCTGCTTGGCTACTAGTGTTTAGGGAATATTTTTATCAATTGTTGCTGATGAATGAATATCTGTTCATCTGACAAATGTCAAATACCCTGTTCAACTTTTTAAAAATAGTTATAATTACTTGACATCCATATTAGTTAGTTATTCCTCTTGTGCCAAAGATGGCGCATAGGGCAGAGGTCATAGCTTTCCACGTCTGTCGGTTCGTTGCCACTTGATGTAGGTCTTGAGTGCGACTGAGACCTATGGTTGAGCTCTCCCTTGTGATGGTTCTACGGAGAGTTTCTTTTGGTCTTCCCTGTTTTCTTTTACCCTCTGGTGACCATATGAAGGCTTGGTGGGGAAGTCTCTGTGTGTCCATTCTGAGTACGTGACCGATGTAATTCCAGCGACACATTCTAATAAAATCAGACACATATTTTTGTTTTGTTTCCTGTCTTATAGATGTATTGGACCTAAAGTCCGACCAGTGAACATTCAATAGCTTTCGGAGGCATCTATTCTCGAAAGCGACTAGTTTCTTATCGATTGATACTGATGATTTCCAACTCTCACAACCATAAGTTAGCACTGGGATTACACAGGAATTGAAGACCTTAAGTTTCGTGTTGTTGCTGAGTGATCTTGACTTCCAAATGTTTGACAGTTTGTTAAAGGCACTTGATGCTAACGCGATTCGAGTCGTTATTTCTGATGTTGTATCTCCCGCAGAGGTTATCTTGCTCCCTAAGTATGTGAAGCTGGTGATTTTTTCAAGAACAATATCCTTTAGTTTGATGTCTTTCGACTCGTTGGTAAGATCGATGATTTTCGTTTTGGCTGCGTTGACCTGAAGGCCGATTTGGCTTGAAATATTCTAATATCCATATTAGACATGAGATTAATATTGAAGATGTAGATGGAAATAAGGCAGTGAATTGTCCAAAACTGCAACAGATGTTGGGCCATACGCCTGCTGCATATCAGCTTGTGTAGGGGAAAGGAAGCTTTACAGGAAATTGTTCCGCACATTGCTTGTTGCTCCATTGCTTTGTTTGTTCTCTTTATGTATCCGTTCTGTGGCAATAAATGATTCTTTTCAGTTTTTATTGTGTTTGGTCTTGACTGCCTGACTCTCATTGGAAGCTCCATTAACTCGTTTGTTAGTTTTACTTTGTGACCTTTTTTTTTTCTACTTGTTTTTCTCTGTGACCTTGTTTTTTGGTTGTTTTAGTCTATAATCTCCTTGTTGTTTTACTCTGTAATCTTCATTGTCATTTTACCCTGTAATCAATCTTCATTGTTGTTTTACTCTGTGATCTCCATTGTTGTTTTACTCTGTAATCTCCATTGTTGTTTTACTCTAATCTCCATTGTTGTTTTACTCTGTAATCTCCATTGTTGTTTTACTCTGTAATCTCCATTGTTGTTTTACTCTGTAATCTCCATTGTTGTTTTACTCTGTAATCTCCATTGTTGTTTTACTCTGTAATCTCCATTGTTGTTTTACTCAGTGATCTCCATTGTTTTACTCTGTAATCTCCATTGTTGTTTTACCCTGTAATCTACATTGTTGTTTTGCTCTGAAATCTCCATTGTTGTTTTTACCCTGTAATCTACATTGTTGTTTTGCTCTGAAATCTCCATTGTTGTTTTACCCTG